CCCCCCCAGACAACCGGATCTACCATTTCCAGACGGAGGACGAACACGAGTGTGAGGCGTGAGTGCCCCTACAGCCAGCCTTCTTTAACCCCCAGCCTCTGGGCGGGATGCGAGCGTGCACAACTAGGTTCTCCCGCCCACCTCGCCCGCACACCCTCTGCAGGTGGGTATCGGTACTGCAGAACAGCAAGGATGAAGCCTTGAGCAGCGCCTTCCTCGGGGAGACTGGCGGCGGCCCAGGGCCCTGTGGTGGTGGGGCGGGGCAGGACGGAGAAACTCGGCTGCTTCTGGCCGAGGTGAAGAGCAGGCCCGGGAACGGGCAGTGCTGCGACTGTGGAGCTCCAGGTCCGTCTTTGGGCTGGGACGCGGGGAGGGCAAGGGGGCGGAGGAACTGTTTCCCCACGGCGACCTGCTCTTCCTTGCAGACCCCACGTGGCTCAGCACCAACCTGGGCGTGCTCACGTGCATCCGGTGCTCCGGCGTCCACCGCGAGCTGGGCGTCCGCTTCTCACGCATGCACTCCCTCACCTTGGACCTGCTGGGCCCCTCCGAGTTGTTGGTGAGGCCCTGGAGGGACGCGGGCCAGTGAGCTGGGTGGTGGGACAGGACCTGGCCGACCCAGAAAGGAGAGGGTGGCCTCGACAGGGTGGGCAGCCCATGGGCAGAACTTGTGGAGGCATGTCCCACCAGAGGCCGCTGCCCCAGCCACACAGTCTTTCCCCCCATTCTCCTGCCACCCAGATAGCCTTGAACATGGGCAATGCTCGCTTCAACGAGGTCATGGAGGCCCAGCTACCCTCCCATGGCTGCCCGAAGCCTTCCGCTGAGAGTGACATGTAAGAGGAAGCTGAGCTGCAGGATGCCCTGGCTGGGGGCGTCTGCTAGCGGGTGGGAAGTGTGGAGCGAGGGGAGGCTCAGGCCAGGGGCTCCCCAGGGCCTGGGTTGGGAGACCAGGTGGGGAAGCCAGCCCTCACTTTGAGACCGTGGTTGTGTTGGCAGGAGCCCCCGCCGGGATTACATTGTGGCCAAGTATGTGGAGCACAGGTTTGCTCGCAGGGCCTCCCCGGAGCCTCAGAGACTCTGGACAGCCATCCACAACCGGGACCTCCTCTTGGTCCTGGAGGCCTTTGCTAACGGGCAAGACTTTGGACAACCACTGCTCGGGCCTGAGGGACAGGTGAGAACCCCCTCCAGGGACCACCCCACCTCAACCCACCCCATCCTGGTCCTCCAGGACTAGCTATGGCTTCCCTCTGCCCATACACCCATGGGTGGGGGCTGCCTCTGCCTTCTCATAGCTGCACGGTCCAGAACAGGCTCCTGCCCTATCTGGCAAAGTGGATTCATAATAGCACTCACAGAGTGGAAGCGAGAATGAAACTGAGCAGGGCAGGGAACAGGCTTGATGCCTGGTAGATGCGTAGTAACTGTTAGTCGCTGGCTTTTTCCTCCGGCTGATTAGAGCAGGGAAGGCCACTGCATTGGCTCTTCCAGAAACAGAAACAACAAGTGAGTGAGGGAATCTAGCCGAGTGAGGGGACAGAAAGAAAAGGTCACCACACACGAAGGACAGGATCAACCGGCATTACTGACTGGTTAAACCAAAGCCCTTTGCTGGCAAACCGCCTACCATAGAATCAATTCTGCCTCCTAGGGACCTTATCTAGGGTTTTTGAGTCTAACTTTTCACAGGAGCCGGCAGCCTCATCTTTCTCTTTCAGAGCAGCTAGTGGGTTTGAACCGCCAACCTTGAAGTTAGTAGCCCAGCACCAGGGTTCCTCCACTGCTGTCAAGGCCATTCTACTTCATGGCAACCCCATGTGTTACAAAGTAGAACCGCTACCTAGGGTTGTCTTGGCTCTAATCTTGACAAAAGCCAGTCCTTTCTTCCACAGCACTGCTGGGTAGGTTGAAACCACCCACTTTCAGCTTAGCAGCTGAGCACACGCCCTTTGCAACACCTAGGGCCCTTACTGAACTAGGTGTACCAGACCACAGGAGGAGAGCATGACCAGTGGGTGGGGCATGCTGGTCATGGTGGGCCTGTCCAGTGAGCGGTGAGGTCAGGATTTGGAGCTTTCTACACATGCGTGACAGCTGAAAGCATGGGGTGAGAGGGCTCTCGGGCGAAGGGAGCGAGAGGGAGGAGCCCGGGGCCAAGATTCCAAATGTAAGTAACACCCTCTACTGGGGACCAGAGGAAGAAGACCCACTGAGGAAAGCCCTTGAGCCTCTTCCTAAAGATGGGGTTCCATCTGGCCAGTCTCCTTTCTGAGGGGTATGGCAGCTTCAGAGCTGGGGGCATCCGGGCAGCAGGAGCTCAAGAGGGTCATACTGGGTTGGGGACAGTACGCTGGGTGAGACTCAGGTGTGGACCTGTGTTCAGGCACCTGGAGAGCTCGCCCTGCACTTGGCTGTCAGAGTTGCCAACCAGGCCTCCCTGCCCCTGGTGGACTTCATCATCCAGAATGGGTGAGAGCCCCTGCTTCTCTCCCCAGCACCTCCCATGCCTCCCCACCCTCCTCTCCTCCTTCTCCCTCTTTTCCTCCCTGATTCAGACCTTCTCACCCACCTGCCTCCTTGACTGCCTCCCAGTGGTCACCTGGATGCCAAGGCCCCAGATGGAAACACCGCCCTGCACTGTGCTGCCTTCTACAACCAACCCGACTGCCTCAAGCTGCTGCTGAAAGGGAGAGCTTCGCCTGGCACAGGTGGGGCTCCGGCGCCTCCCCGCTCAGGTCCTCCCCACCCCCACAGAGCAGAGCAGAGAGACCCACCTGAGTTCCAACCTGGGCTTGCCTCCACCCAGCTCTGTAACCTTGAGGATGTCTCAGTTTCTCTCTCAACCTCAGCTTCCTCGTCTGTAGAGGAGGACTGCTGAAAGGGTCACATTCCATAGTTTTTCTGAAAGCACCTCCCCAACAACTAGCAGCCGAGTCTGAGTCCAGGGCACGGGAGAGTGGCTGACCGCCTGCTAACTGCCTACATGGTGCATGCACTTGCCGCATGCCCATCAGGAGTGACCTCATTTTGTAGCGTAGAAAATGAAGACCCATAAAGGCTCAGTAGCTTGGCCAAGGTCACATGGCCAGGATTCCAACCCAGACAGTGTGATTGCAGAGCCCCTCTTCAGCTCCCAGCTATAGCGCCTGGTCCCCAACTCTACCCTTCACAGTGAACGAAGCCGGGGAGAGTGCCCTGGACGTGGCCAGGAGGAAGCAGCACAAGGAGTGTGAGGAGCTGGTGAGGCCCCGGGGAGGGGAGGAGGGCCCCCAACTCATCCTCCCCCTGAGCCCCTGAGCCACTGAACTGGCATGCCTTTGTGTGTGGTAGCTGGAGCAGGCCCAGGCTGGGACCCTCACCTTCCCTCTGCACGTGGACTACCCCTGGGGAATTCCTGCGGAACCCGCCTCTGACAGTGAGGAGGATGAGGAGGAGAAGGTGGGTTGCAGCCCTTGCGCCACAGGCCCCTTCGCCGCTGGACCCCAGGGTGCCGCCTTGGGCCTGGCATGGGGAGGGGCTGGCCTGGAGGAACCAGGCTCTCCTCCTTGCCCTTTTGTTCCTGCAGCGCTACCCTCCAAAGCCCCCAGCCCAGGCATGCTGGGGTAGTGGGAGGCTGGACATCAGCAACAGGACCTACGAGACCCTCGCCAGCTTGGGCCCAGCTGCCCTTTGGAGCTCAAATGAGACTGTCCCCCCACCCTTGCCCGTGAAAAACCCTTCTCGGGTGCTGGGCCAGGCGCGGGTAGGACCCACCAGTGGAGGTACGAGCAGGCACCCAGAAGAATGGTCATGAGCCCACTCATTGAGGGCCTATTGTGTGCTGGGCCACTGAGCAAAGCATTCCTGTGCTCCTCCCTGTCATCCTCACAACCACCTGCCAGATGGGGGTTAGCCACCCCCATGCCCCTCACTCCCCCGGCAGGTAAGGAAATGTGCAGTAGCAAGCCCAGGCGGCCCAGCTGACAAATCTCTTTTGTGGGCTTCTAACCCAGGCCTGTCTGATGGCAGGCTCCCAGAGCGGCCCTCAAAGAGGAAGGAAGCCCTGCGGGCATCTGTGCATGCCCAGGCCGTCCAGAGTTGACCCAGTCTAGTGGGAGAGAGGAAAATGGCCTAATGGGTTATGCACCCCAAAGGGACAGTGCCTCTGGTGTCTGTTCACTGCTGTTTCTCCAGCACCCACCACAGTGCCTGGCTATCCACCAGAGCGATTTGTTGACTGAGTGGGGTGGGTGGGGGACCCTCTTCTAGGAGTGAGAGGGAGGGAGGATGTATGTCCTGCTGAGGTGGGAGCAGGGGCTACATTGTTTCCCAGGGGGAGTAGCATCTGAGCTCCCCCTGGGGGACGGGCAACGGGGTCCAGACTGAGGAGAGGGAGTTGGCAGAAAAAAGTAGTGAGTCAGTGAGTCCCTGGCTGTCGTGGATGAATGACCCAAGAGACGAACGCATGGGGAATGTGGGGAGCGGGAGAGCTGTGATAGATCAGACAGACCCATCGACTAATACCAGGCTCCATCTCTCTGGTTCCAGATTGTCCCGAAGTCCCTAGCCTGAGCTTGGAGCCCCCTGGGACCCCTGAGAGCCTGGACAGCCCAGCCTCTTCCTCCTCCAGTCTCACAAGCCCCCTGGAACCTAGGGCTCCCAGCCAGGCCCCACCCAGCTGGGAGGACCACCTCCAGGAGCCCTCCAGCACCACTCTGCCCAGCCTGCTGTCTGGGACCACTCCTGGGGAGATGTATCCCCCTGTTAGGTTCAGGTTGGTGAGGACCCAGCTGTGCAGCCTGGGCAAGTCCCCTGACCTCTCTGAGTCTCCACCCACCCCACCCCAAATGGTCCCTGTCTGGATACTAGGGTACTTCCCAGCTCTGAGGCCATGACTGCTGCAGAGATGCTGGCTCTGAAGTGGAGGGTGTCTGCACCCCTTCTCCACCACACAGTCTCTTGCCCTCAGGTCTGGCCTAGAGAGCCGAGAGGTGCCTGGAATCCAGGTTGTTGAAGTCACAGTAGAAAAGATACAGAGCCACTTGTGTGACTTATTCTGGGGCTGAGTGAGGCCTTTAGTCTACCCCTAACCCCAGTCTAAGGGCCAGTCCTCTCCCTTTCCTGCACACTGGTCAGTTTGGGTACTGGGGACGTAGACCTGGGGCTCTACCCAGAGTACTCTGGAGGCCAGCTCCTTTTGGGCCTGTGCTCCCCCTAACCCCCCAGCCGTGCTCCGTCCCCGACTCCTTCTCTCCCCATGGAGGGGCTCTCAGGACATGGGTCACAGTGGCTTCTCCCTGACTTCCAGCTCTGAGAGCACTCGCTCCTACCGGCGGGGGGCCCGACGCCTGGAAGAGGGCACCTCAGCCCAGCAGCTGCTGTCTGGAAGGAACGTGCCGGTAGGTGCTCGGGGCTGTGGTGTGAGGGGAGTGGTGGAGTGACTGGAGAGGCCGTGTAGTCAAGGGTAGGTGGCTGGGACACATGGGCCCTGTCCTGGTACTCCTGCCTGCTGCAGCCCCAGGCCAGAAGCTCAGGGGAACCCGGGCCTGGCTCCCCCCAGGGAGGGTGAGTAAAAGCGCATCAAGCCACGCTGGCCTCCCAGAGAGGGTCAGGACTCGGCTCGCCCTAGACCAGTCCTGAGTTTGCCTAATTCACCTCTCACCTGCTGAGATCTACTGAAGCTTCCAGCTCCACGGCCTAGAAGGATGGACAAAGCAAGGCCGTCTGTAACGGGACTTCTTTCCGCCAAATCAGAGTCTGGGACCACGACCGACTGAGTTAGTTGAGGAACCTGGGGGTACACAAAGGTCAGAGCAGTCCAGGCAGAAAGGAAAGCTCTGTCTCGTGCCCGTGCCCGTGGGCATTCCTCTGGGATGGCCCTGCATCCTGGATCCTGGGTCGGGAGGTGGGGAAGGCAAGGGCGGAAACCATCACCCTCCATCCATCACAGACCCAAATCTGTGTCCATATGCTGGTTGCACTGTTGTTGTTAGCTGTGAAGAAGTGGGGAGGGGGTGTCCCGACTCAGGGTGACCTGAGAACCAGGTACCCACCACCCAGCAGTCAGGTGACACTGTTGTGCAGGTGTGTGACAATGCGAGCCTAGGCCAAGGGCTGTCACTGCTTCATGGCTTGGCTTCATCTGTAAAATGGGGATCGTTGAATCCACCCACAACAGGAGTCGGGACTGAGCGAGAGAACCCTCTGGTACAGATGCGTGTTTGAAACGCCGTTCCCCTCCTCTCCCCAGGCCGGCTGCCCTGAAGAAGACGGCTCACGGCCTGGGCTTCTCCCAGGGAGTTCTGTGCAGCTGTGGCAAGACTAGCTCCTGGCATGTCTGAATCACCCAACATTCAAAACTGGAACTTGAGGGCCCTTGTGACTTTGTGACTGGCTTCATTCCTCAGACCAGAGCCCCTGCCAAGGACCTGCCTGGCCCTTCTGTGCTAGCATGATGAGGCTTTCCCTCTCTGTCTCCTTGCCCACCCCGAGACCCGAGTACTCCTGAGTTGAGTTCAGCTGCAGAAACCAACTCCCTGCATCAGCCCAGGACTGCCACTGCGTCTCTTCCATCTCTCTAGGGCTTCTTGCCCTTTTGTTCTCTGCATCCAGACAAGGGACTAGCTTCTCAGCAATGTATTAGTATGGCCTCTGTGTCCTGAGTTCCAGCTCTGTGGTCCAGACCTGTCCTTGGTCCCGTGGATGCGACAGTGCCCTACAGGTGTACTCCCTTGCGAGAAGACTGGTCCCTGGGTTGGGCTTGGGAATGGGAAGGGTTAGACTTCAAGGGATGGGTCTGGCTTAGGGACAAGGTAGACAATGAGCTGGTTTACACCATAGCCCCATAGCAGTTGTCCACAGCCCATATCCATTCTGCTTGGGGCCCCGCCACCCATGTTGTAGCATTGTTGAGAGACAGAGTTGATTCCAACTCCCAAGGTAACCTCGTGCAGCACGCAGCGCAGACCAGCTCCCTAGGGACTTCTTGTGAGCAGATTGCCAGGCCAGGGTGAGGCCAGCCTGCCCACTCAGCACTGAACACTTAACCACTTACCCACTCGATTGCCTTAGAGCCCACGCTGTCTGGCTACTAAACATTCTGACTAGCACCCCTGCTGAGGAATCACAGCCATCTGGGACCTCTTTGAATCACAATCCCCAGCTCGGCAGTCGGGTAGGACTCACCTCAGTCACCCACCCCTGGATTTAGGGGGGAGAAAAGGCCTAGTTTTCTCATTTCTTGCCTCTTAGCTCAGGAGCCTTCCAGTCCAGGCTGAGAGGAGGACAAGCAAGAGGCGGGGGGTGGAGGTGATGATAGAAATGGAGGAGCTGAGATTTACAAGCTCTGTCCCCAGAGCCAGAAATCCATCTTTTCAGCATTGCTTTAGGTCCTCCAGCCTCCTCTTACTTAGAAAGCAGGCCTGGGGGTGGGGGCGTGGGGATTATACACACACACAGGTACCTGCCAGTGACACCCCAGCCACGTGGTGCTCTGCCCTCAGTCCTTGGTAGGTATGGGCCAGGCCAAGCTGAAGCCAATGGCCAACACAGGCGAGCTGCTTCCTTGGGCGAGCAGGCTGTCTGCGGTCCCACAGGAGCAGGGCTGTCCTCAGCACGCCGGTGTCGTGTTCATCTCACTTGTGTCTAATACATTAGTCTTAGGGACTAAACCAAAAGCCCGTTGCTTTTTTCAGTCAATTCTGGCTCACAGAAACCCTGCAGGACAGAGGAGACTGACCCCCATGGGCAGTCACCTTTGCAGAAGCAGACTGCCACCACTTTGTCCCTTAGAGCAGTTGGTGGGTTCAGGTTGTCAATCTTCCCACCAGCAGTCGAGCACTTTCCCCACAGCCTCCCAAGGGCTTGTGTGTGTGTGTGTGTGTTGGGGGGGGCGGGGAGGAAGGTTTGCGGTGAGAGTTGGGGTAATGTGTGTTGGTGGGGCTGGGGAGGAAGGTTTGCAGTGAGAGTGGGGGTAACGTCCAGGGCTTTCATTTTCGTTTGGGTTTTCTAAAGATCAAGTAGGACTTGGGATTCTTTGCCTGAAGTAAGCAAGAGACAGATGCTGGCATCAGCCATTCTCCATGAGGGACAGTATTGCCGTAGGACATTTGGTGCTGCCTGGGGGCATTGTTTATGGTCACACTGGAGAGTACTCTTGCCAGCTAGTGGGTCAACAGCTGACAATACACAGGACAGCTGTCACAGCACCAGCTTATCCAGCCCCCAAAAGTGCTGGGCTGGAGAAACCCTAGTGTTGAAGAGCGATCCCAGGACCAGGAGTCAAGACCTAACAGTTTTAGCTCTGCCACGGCTCCTGTCTTGATTTGATTGCCCCCCTAAAACAAGGCTTTATTGGGGACGTGATCCCAACAAGCATAGTGAGGGCACAGGGAAGGGCCGTGGTTACCTAGTCCTGCCACAACAGAAAACACTACAAGGGGGTGGCTTTAGAGGACTGAAACACATTTTAGCGCCTTGAAGTCCAAATCTAGACACCAGCGCTTGGGGAGTTCTTGTCTGTAGTCCCAGGGCTTCCTCAGCATTCCTTGGCTTGTAAACCAGTCCTCATTTGCTCCCTTCCCGCCTACATGTGTGGATAGATATGGGTGTCTCCGAGTGTCCCTTAGGACACCTCACAGGAATGCTGAGGTTTAGGATCTACCCCACTTTGGGATGACCTCATTAACAAAGCCATTTCCAAACATGATTATATTAAGGTACGGGGGTATTTTTTTCCCCTGAGGGACACAATCCATAATGGGAAGTTAAAGGTCAAAACCAGTATGGGCTGTGTTAATGGAGTTTCCACTGTGGACACCTCAGCTCAGGGTTTGCTGGGGACCTTCTAAATGGCTGCCTCGAGGAGCCCGTACCTTCAAGCTGCTCTTCCCGTGTGAACAAACTGGGTACTTAGCACCCACTCTGAACGTGGGCTTAGGGACAGGTGGGGATGGGGAGGCGGCACTGATCATTTTGTGTCACCGTGGCCAGGCTGCGGTCCCCATTACTTAATCAAACCATAATCTAGGTGTTGCTGTGGCTCCTTTGTAGCTGTGGTGAACACCTGCAGTCAATTGGCCCTTAGGTAAAGAAGATTACCCTAGAATCTAGGTCATGTGGGTGGGTCCCTTCCAATCAGTTTGAGGTTTTCAAAGAAAGACTGAGGTTGCCCTAAGAAGGAATTCTGCCTTAAGACTGCAGCTTCAGCTCCTGCTTGCGTTTCCAACCAGCCGGCCCATCTTACAGATTTCCGACTTGTACAAGCCAATTATACTTGAAATAAAGCTCTTTACATATCCTATGGGTTTTGTTTGTCCAGAGAGCCCTGTCTGTTCCCCAGCTCTCCCAGCCTGCTCTCTCTCAAACCCTCGGAGGGAGAGGGAAGCTGCCCGAGGTATAGATAGGAATGATCTTCAGGTGTCGTCCAGGATGGCCTATACGGAGGGGACATGGGGGTACTGGCAGTGTCCTCCTCTACAGTCAAGCAGTGCAGCCCTAAGCAGCTCATCACCCTCTCTGGTCATCAACCTCTTAGCTTTGTGTATTAGTCTGGGTACTTTAGAGAAACAAATCCACAGCAACTCATGTATAAGTGAGTTTTATGTAAAGAAAATGTGCATCACGAAAACATCCCAACCCAATGCTGCCCAAGCCCACAAGTCCAACATTAACCCATTAACCCAACACCAGTCCACAAAGTCCTCCACCTCACAAAACAGAGGCAATGATGCCAACTGCAGGAGGAAAGCTGAGTCAGTGAATGAATAAGCATCTCAGCACTAGCAGGGGTCTCCACACGGTTGCTCCAGCACCCAGGGCTGCATCTGGATAGGTCCATGTGGCTTCTCCTTGGGAATGTCTTGTAGGAAGTCAATCTTGCAAGCTGAAGCAGGGAACTGCTAAGGCAGCTGCACCCTGGTGCGACCAACACAAAGCAAGAGACCTGAGAGCTAGAAAGGCGAGGCTCACCACCCATTTATCCCTCCGCTTTCAATTAGCCCTACATGTGTTTATTGGCCAGGTTGGCACAATTAACTAACTCACTCTGATGATAGAGGAACCTTTGTGTCTTTTGATGCCCTGCTGAAGGTGGTAGGCAGAAGTTTGAGGGGAAATTATTATTTTTAATCATTTTATTAGGGGGGGAAATTATCTTTAAAAAAAAATCACTCCTAAATCATCATAGGCAACCTCTGCCTCTCTACTGCCCCTTTAACACCGCAGGGCTTGGCCGAGGGCTGGTCAAGAACCTTGCAAGCGCCAAATCTTTAGAAAAGTGGGATGCCTAAATCTACGTGGGAGCTGCGATGTTCTGGGGGCTTATGCTACACCCACCTCATCTCTGCCTGCTTCCCCTCTTCTGGCATTGATGCGAGGGGATATGGCGGGTTATGACCGTACCTCACCTCTGTGCTGCAGCCATGTTGATCTTTGGGTTCTTTTTACCCGCTACATATCAAGCACCCTCCCATCCCAGAGCTCGCTACACATCAAGCACCCTCCCATCCCAGAGCTCGCTACACATCAAGCACCCTCCCATCCCAGAGCTCTGCACATTCACAGCCCTAGCCAGGCTGTTGCTCCTCACTGGACACTTAGGGCTAGACCTGTCTGACCAAGGATAGGCAACAGATATTTGATGAACTCCTAATGTTTTCTCTTTTACCCTGAACATCCTTCCAACTCCCATTTCAGCCCAAAGCTTACACCTGGTGTCTCCAGAGATAAAGCCTCAAACTGATATAGGTCCCCCTGAACAAAAGTGTCCTGAGAATAAGCGTGCTTTTCCCGTCTCCTTGACCTTGCCCCCTATGTAATCAAAATAGCAGTTGGCCATCCCATGTCTGTATTATGATTTCTCGCACCCAGAACCTCAAGGCCAGACCACTGCCTGGTGCCAAGCCCGTCTGGTTCCCGAGTAGACACTGGGCTGCTGGAGAAAGCAGAGTCCTTGCTGCGGGTCAGGTCACACAGCAACAATGCAAATGGCTAACCCAGGCCATCACCCATCCATGTCTCACAGAAGTCTGGAGACTCAAACCACAGCAACACTCCCCTCCACCCCTCAGCCACACAGTGAACCACTTGATGTTATTTAGCTTCCGTTCTAAGGCACAGACAAGGAAGCCCTGACTACTAACTGAAATGTTGGTTTGAGCACCTAGAAGTGCCTCTGAAGACAAGCCTGGCCATGTTTCCTAAGATCATGGCCTTGAGCCCCCGGTGGCATACTTCTACCCAGCTCACTTGGGGACGCCAGGGTTCAGAATCCTCGGAAACCAGCAACAGGCAAGCCTCTTCGGCTCCACCGTCCTGCTCCTTTCCTAGAAAGATCGTCAATTAAACTCCCAGGCAGAAGAGACGGAAGTCTATGAGGGACACTTGGAAGGAGATCCCTCCCGAGCAGAGAGTATGTACAGCTATGGGAGGCCTCCCCCTTCCCAAGAAGACCTTTCCAGCCCCAGGCCCGCTGAGAGACAATGGCCTGGCCCTCAGTGAATAAAGGACACAGGTGCTGGGATCGCTGTCACAGAGTCCTATCCACAAAACCAGCCCACTGCCATCGAGTCAATGTCGACTCATGTGACCCTACGGGACGGGGAAGTTTCCGAAACTAATTTACAGAATAGAAAGCCGCGTCTTCCCCACGCGCCGCCCCACTGCGGAGCGGCTGGTTGTTCCAAACCGCTGACTTTGCAGTTAGCCCAACGGGGACATTGCGAGGGCTTCTTCAACGAGTCTGGAAGCCAAAAAGCAAACTCACACTGCCATCGAGCCGCTGCTGACTCTCCTAAACTCGGCATACTCAAGGGTTTTGGTCCCCCGGCAGGCGCACCGCAAACCCTGGGGAGCCGTTAGAAATGTAAAACCTCAAGTGGCAAAAGAAACGGCGTGCAAGTGCGTGCACTTTGGGGGCCTACAGGCGCCAGCAGCCTGGGTGCAGACGTGTTGCACAGTCCCGGTGCACAAATGAGTGAGCGCTGCTGATCTGAGCGCGTGAAGTTGCCCCCGCTTGGGAGCCGGGGCCGCCCGCTTTGGGCTGCAGA